CACTCACAGGTGGCTCTGGCACCAGCCCTCCCTGGGCTGCCCTTGGGAGTGCCCTAAGACCTTGGCCCAGCAAGGCGGAAGGGCTCCTAGGGACAGGGGGCTGATCTTGGCCTCCAAACACCTGCAGCCTTTCTTGGGGGCTTTGGAGACAGGAGCTTGGTGCTCCACCCTGAGGCCATTCTAGGCTGTGCCCAGGGTTGGGTTTCCAGGGTTTAGAGGCGCCCATTGGCTGGAGAAGACTGAAATGTGAAGTGGGAATGAAACGCTCATTCAAGGGAGGCGTTTAAATGCTCAAAGGCGGATAGAAAGATCCAAAAGAAAAAAACCGCAGCTCCAAGGATTTGGGTGCTTTGGGCCCTTTCTGAAACACACAAAGGAAAGAGGAGGATGGAGTCAGACAAGAGTGATGCGGAAGCATCGTGAATGGAGTGCACTCTCCATGAGCCCTGGGCTCTGGGCAAGGGTCTGAGGGTGCCCCCCTCCAACCCACCCAGGCAGGCTGCTCCTGTGGTGGGGTGAAGGCATCTGATGGCTCTTGGTCATCCATAAAGTGCCTGCCTCCATCCTGCCTGGAGCACCTCCCTAGAGGAGGATATCAGCACCCCCAGCCCCCACCCTGAGGGATGTTGGACCCTGCTCGGGGCAGCCAAAGGCCAGGCCAGCTGAGCCCTGACAAGCAGACACAGCTGCACGGCAGAGGCGCCAGGCAGGGGATCCAGCTCAGCCACTCCCCTCTGGTCAGAGGCTTGGCTACTGACCAGACCCCAGGAGGCTGAGCTCTCCCTTGCTAGCAAGCATCCCCCGAGCCCATACCTGACAATGAGGGAGAGCCAGGCAGGTCCAGGTGAGGGGAAGCGAGGAGACCTGGCGGGGAAGGCTGGTGCCAGCTGGCCCGCGCCTGTGGGAGAAAGATGTCTCTGAGGCACCTCCAGAGGGAGGACAGTCAGATGGCCCTGCAGAGGGCCCTGCTGATCTGGCCCCCGCCTCTCTTGGACGTCATTCTGGTGCCCTTGCTCATGCCGTCATCATGATCTTCTGGACACAACTCCCATCTTTCCTGTCAGTGTCTCCTCTGTGACCAAGGTCGTGGCCCTCCTGCGTGGGGTCTGCAGTGACCCAGCCCTGCAGGGATACAACCCCTTCTCTGTAGGTGAGCATTTGGGGGTGCCCTGCCATGAGAGAGCCTTACTGTGGGAGTGTCCTGCTGTGGGGGAGTCCCATGGGCAGTTCACTAGGACAGAACAGGCATTGCAAAATTCGCCCTGGACAGAAGTATGCTGGTGCCTGCAGCTTTCTTTGAAATGCCTGGCAAATGAGATGGACTGGTGGATGTGGAGGGATGGAGCGTGATAAAGCAAAGAGAGTGAGATGTTATGGGACAGCCATGGTGGCGGGTGTTCAGATGTGCACTTTAGAATGTTTTCTACTTTTTCTGCCTAGAAATCTGTAAAAATGTCTATAATAAAATGTTGGGGATCACATAGAGGAGTAGGGAAAGTCGATTTTCTGCAGGACAGGCCTGGCTGGGCAGCTCAACTTGCCCCCAGGAGTCTCCTCTCAGTCTAGAAAACTGTTTTGCTTTCCCATGCTGATGTTGGTTTTTACCCTTTGTTCACCTCTACACTCAAGGCAGCAACACACTCCTATCATTAATAGAAGCTATGGCAATGAGTTTGGGGGTAAGGGCTAAGTGTATTTTAAGAAATCTCAAGTAGCTCTAAGATGCCCCTGTGGAGCCTGGAGGGCAGGCTGGACTTTGCAAAGCAGATGCTGTGGCTTCCTGGCAGTCCAGGCGTCTGTTTCTGTATTGTCCTTTCCTGTCTCTGTAGATTCCAGGGCTGGGGAAGGGGCACTGTGGACACAAGGTGGCCAGTATTTTAAGAGGGCACCACAGGCTGGGTATGGTGGCTTATGTCTATAATCCCAGCACTTTGGGAGGCTGAGGTGGGTGAATCACTTGAGGTCAGGAGTTGAAGACCAGCCTGGCAAACATGATAAAACCCCCTTTCTACTAAAAATACAAAAATTAGCCGGGTGTGGTGGCGTGTGCTTGTTGTCCTAGCTACTCGGGACACTGAGGCAGGAGAATTGCTTGAACCCGGGAGGCGGAAGTTGCAGTGAGCCAAGATCACGCCATTGCACTCCAGCCTGGGCAACAGAGAGAGACCCTGTCTCAAAAAAAAAAAAAGAAAAAAAAAGAAAAGAAAAAGAAAAAAAAAAAGGCACCATAGCCCCTAGGGCTGAAATGGCAGGTTCACAGCCATTGGAGAGGGCTGTCCTGGTCTTGCTGTTATCACCCATGTGGTGTAGGGCAGTGTTTCTGTGACCCGTAATGTGGTCATGCAGAAACAACTCAGTTCCTGGGCTGCATCTGCAGAGCCCATCTGGGAATGGGCTGGACACTGGTGACTGGTGACTGCAGAGCATCCTGGTTTGGAAGGGGCTTCCCTGTGAGGGGACTGGCAGGAGCTTCCATCCATGTCTGTAAGCCTAGGGCCTGGCGAGAGGCCCACCCAGGCTTGGCACCTGGAGCAAGGGACTGTCCCCAGAGCCTCTCTGGGCTCCTTCTAGGATGGTTCTCAGGCCTTGGCCTGAATCTAGCTTCTGCCAACACTAGGAGCTGGCTTGGTCCTTGGGTTATAGCCAGGAAGGTGACTGGGATGTGCCCAGAGAGGCCAAGAGGACTGGCTGGTGGGCATGTTTGGGAGGCAAAGCCAAGGAACACCTCCAGCCACAGCTTGTGGGGGGTGGGGTCCAGAGCCTCCTCTTTCCTGTGATGTCACTGAAGGCCAGGCCTGCATGGCACTCCTCGTGATGTCATGGGGGTTGGAGACTTCCAAGATGGTGTGATGGGAGTCAGATCATAAAGTCATTCTATGTGATATTAGCAGGGGCCAGCACATTCCATATGATGTCACAGGGGGACAGCCAGAATCTCTGGCATTCCATGAGGTATCTTTAGGGGTGGGGCTGCTAAGGTCACTAGGGGCCAGCCATCAAGCCATTTTAGGTGACATCATTAGACCCTCTGGAATTTTGCATCTCATGTGACATCACTGTGGGCAGGGCTGCCACAGCATTCAGTGTGCTATTACTGGAGGCCGGGCGTGCAGAATTTGGCATCGTGCATGATGTCACCATGAGTGCAGCCTGAGCCATCATGACATCCCAAGTAATGTCCCAGAAGGTGTGGTCTTCCTGAGATCCCATGGGGAATTCCCAGGGTGGAGTTGCAGTGGCATTCTGTGTGGTTACACTGAAGATGGGGCCTCCAGAATGTAACATTCTGTGATGTTATTGGGGCTCAGGGTTTGGGAACTGGCTCCCAAACCTGCACCCCGCCGTCTGGAGGTATGACGCCAACTACAGAACCCTAAGCGCTGCCCCATTACCCAGCCAATTTTGCTCACCCAGGCAGGGTTGTCGGCTACCTCACCATCTCCACATCTGCCAGGTAGCACAAAGCACCGTGCACTAAGATGCTTTTGAGTGGGTGCATTTATCCTGACTTTCAGCCTGGCAGTGTCTCTGGGATGCTGCTGTATCTTAGCTCCTGCATCTCTCTTTTCTCCTGGATTTTGAAAAGTGCTCCATAGCTTTGCAGGGTACAGGGGTTATAAGAGGCTAACCAAGGTTACAAATAGCCTGCATTTTTTTTTTTTTTTTTTTTTAAGACAGAGTCTCGTTCTGTCACCCAGGCTGGAGTACAGTGACATGATCTTAGCTCACTGCAACCTCTACCTCCTGGGTTCAATCAAGGGTTCAAGTGATTCTCCTGCCTCAGCCTCCTGAGTAGCTGGGACTACGGGCACACGCCAGCATGTCCAGCTAATTCTTTTGTATTTTTGGTACAGACAGGGTATCACCATGTTAGCCAGGCTGATCTTGAACTCCTGATCTCAGGTGATCTGCCTGCCTCTGCCTCCCAAAGTGCTGGGATTACAGGCATGAGCCATCACACCTGGCTGCCTGCAAATTTTTCTTTTTTCTTTTTTTTTTTTCTTTTTTTGTCGCCCAGGCTGGAGTGCGATGGCGCGATCTCGGCTCACTGCAAGCTCCGCCTCCCGGGTTCAAGCGATTCTCCTGCCCCAGCCTCCCAAGTAGCTGGGACTACAGGCGCCTACCACCGCGCCTGGCTAATTTTTGTATTTTTAATAGGATGGGGGTTTCACCATATTGGCCACGCTGGTCTCGAACTCCTGACCTTGTGATCCACCCACTTTGGCCTCCCAAAGTGCTGGGATTACAGGCGTGAGCCACCATGCCTGGCGGCCACCTGCAAATTTTTAAGAGACAGGGTCTCCCTCTGTCACCCATGCTGGAGTTCAGTGGTGAGCGACCATAGCTCGTTGTAACCTCAAACTCCTAGGCTGGAGTGACCCTCTCACCTGCCTCCTGAGTAGCTAGAACTACAGCCATGCACCACCACACGCTGCCAAATATTTTTATTTTTGTAGAAACAGGGTCTGGGCTCTGTTACCTGGGCTGGCCTCAAACTCCTGGCCTCAAGCAATTCTCCTACCTCAGCCTCCCAAAATGTTGGGATTACAGGCATGAGCCACCATGTCAGGCAGCCTCCAAACCTTAATGGCTCAGCACAACAAAAGTTTCTCATTCATGCAATGTCCAATACAGTGTTCCCTAATCATCTCTCCTCCTCGCCATGCCCTGCATTCAATCAGTCAACAAGCAGAGAGGGTGCAGGATCACAAGGATGGTTGCTAGGGGCAGACCTGGAAGGGGCATACATTGCTTCCACCCTCATTCCAGTGGCCAGAGCTAGTCCCAAGGCCGCAGTCAGACACAAAGCTCTAAGCAATGTGGTAGTCATGTGCCGGAAAGAGGAACTAGGCTTGGTGAGCAGCTGGTACTGGCCGTAGCGAATGAAAAACAAAATGACGGCTTCTGCTGAATACTCCCGGGTGACTCTTCCCCAAGGACTGGCCCTTCCTCAGGACCACCTTCCTTATGCTCACCCCCCACCTCTGCTATCCAATCAGATCACACCAGGCAGCAAGGCAGCCCAGTCCCAGCTCAGCCAGGGTGACCTTGTGGTGGCCATTGACGGCGTCAACACAGACACCATGACCCACCTGGAAGCCCAGAACAAGATCAAGTCTGCCAGCTACAACTTGAGCCTCACCCTGCAGAAGTAGGTGGGAGCTCTCCAGAGCAGGGGGCGGAGGCTTGGGTGTGGGCATGGGGCAGGGGCCAAAAGAGGGATAGTCCCATAGCAATTGAGTGGGCCTAGCCCTGGGCTACAGAACTGTGCCGGAAGATAAGGACAGCCTTGGGCCAGAGGAACAACCAGGCCCAAGTTGCTGTCAAGCACCTAGAGGCAGACATTACTGCCTCACTTTACAGATAAGGCTGAGAGGGTGGTCCTGGTGCTGCCCGTATGTGGGCCATTGGTCCTGGAAGGCAGGTCTTCCCTGCTTCCACTTTGCCCCGGCAGCCCCCAGTGACATAGCAGGGGCCCATGGATGCTGGCCAAAGTGCCCAGGGGCCATGACTTCTCCATCCTTGTCGGGCCCAGGGCCTTCTTGGGGAGATCCAGCCCGTGGGGTGGACAGTGGATCTGGAGCCCTCTGACTCAGCTGCCTCTCTCTCTCTCCTCACCAGCCCTGCCCAGGCAGGAGCTTCTGGCCCCAGGGGCAACTTCCTCACTTGGTCTCATCTCTGGTTTCTACAGATCGAAGCGTCCCATTCCCATCTCCACGACAGCACCCCCAGTCCAGTCCCCTCTGCCAGTGATCCCCCACCAGAAGGTAGGTGCTGACTGCGGCGGCGGGGTCCACTCAGCCCTGGTTCCTGGAGTGCTGGCCCTGGCCAGCCTGCCTGGTCTTTGGCTGGCCCAACTGGGAAGAGGCCGTGGGATCAGCCCTGCCCCATCCCTGTCACTGCTGCAGCTGAGCCTGGGGAAGTGAGGCAGCCCCTCGGGAGAGACTTTCAAGCCCCTCTTGAACACTGGATGTGGGAATGAATGCCTGCCTGGGTGCAAGTCACCTCCGCTATGCCTCCCGGCTGGGCCGATAAAAGCTAGCTTGGGCAGCAGTGCTCCCAGGAGAGGGGTCACCCTCCCGGCCAGGCAGGGGACGAGCGTCCAGGCTCTGATCCTCATTTGCCAAGGGGGCCGGGGCTGGGTGACTGCGGCTGAGGCCCAGCTTGAGGAGGACCTCCAGATGTGGAGGGGCGTGCTGGCTACAGGCTTTCCCCTACCCAGATCTCTCCCTCTGGTTTCCACCTCCCTACCTGCCCCTCCCAAGTGCATGCCCCTGTAGCCCTTAGCATGTGCTGGTGATGGCCTTCGAGGCAGGCACAGGGGAGAAGGGAGGCCAAGCCCTGGCTCCAGACCTCACCACTGCCTGGGCCCTTCCCAAGGCCCCACTAAGCAGCTCAACCCCCGAGGGCTCCCTGCTCAACTTCTCCCTCTATGTGAGCTGATAGTGACCCCACCTGTCCAGTGGGGCAGATTGGGCAGGGGAGTAGGGAGAGGGGAGAAAAAGAGGCTGACAGGGGTGTGGTAGGTCACAGACTGGGAAAGTGGGTGGAGGGCTGCTTGGGAGATGCTTACAGAGGTGGACTGAGGGGCCCAAATGTCAGCTACCCACTTCCTCAGCTTCCCTCCTCACCTCCCCACCACCTGCCCACAGCCAGCCCAGGGACCCCATCTCACTGGCAGTGTGGGGTCAGTGGAGCAGGAGTCTGGGCTGTGCTCACTGGGTAGCCACTCTCAGGGGCAGGGGGAACAGACACAGAATGGGCCATCCCCTGACCCCTATACCCACTTCCTCGGGCCCTGAGGGTAGGAAGCTTGACTTGGCTTCCGTGCGGGGCTTGGCACTCTGCCCAGTTGGATGCCAGCCTCAGGCCAGGCCGGGAGCCATGTGCCTGCCTGCTCCTCCGCCAGTGTCCTCCCCTCCAGGTGCTGCACCCAGGTGCTCTGGGCTTCAGGCTGTGGGGCTCGCACTAACGTATCTGTTTCAGGTCCACGCAGGAGCGCTGGGACGCGTGTGGCCTCTAACTGCTCTCTTCTCTCTCCCCTGCATGGCCTGCCCTGTGCCAGGACCCCGCTCTGGATACGAACGGCAGCCTGGTGGCACCCAGCCCCAGCCCTGAGGCGAGGGCCAGCCCAGGCACCCCGGGCACCCCGGAGCTCAGGCCTACCTTTAGCCCTGCCTTCTCCCCGCCCTCTGCCTTCTCCTCACTCACCGAGGCCTCTGACCCTGGCCCTCCGCGGGTCAGACTGAGGGCCAAGACCAGCCCGGACGGGGCCCGGGACCTACTCGGCCCGAAAGCCCTGCCGGGCTCGAGCCAGCCGAGGCAATATAACAACCCCATTGGCCTGTACTCGGCAGAGACCCTGAGGGAGATGGCTCAGATGTACCAGATGAGCCTCCGAGGGAAGGCCTCGGGTGTCGGACTCCCAGGAGGGTAGGTAACGGGCGTGCAGCTCTCCACGGGTGGCCTGGGCCACCTGGGTCCTCGGTGCTCGGCAGAGACCTGGTCAGGTGGTCAGAGCGAGGCACTGGCCCCAATCCAGCCAACCCCGAGTCCATGAGGCCAGCAGTGATCCTGTGGCGTTTGCCATGAGCCGGGCATGCCAGCGATTTATACGACCAACCACGCTGGGGTGACATGTCGGATTTTGCAGAGGAGGAAACTGAGGCTCAGAGAAGGTTAAGTCACAGTCCGTTTGTCCAGCTACCATGTGGCCAAGCGAGTCCTGAATGCAGGAGACTCTGACTTCCAAAACTTTTTCACTAAGCCACCCCCAAGAACAGCACAGCATAGCCTGCTTCCTTCAAGAGCTATGCGCTGGTCCCCACCCCTCTGGGGGGAAGGAGGCAGGAGCAGCAGGGAGCTGAGAGGTGGAAAAGCGAGTTCTCTGGGACTAGGAATGGTCTGGGAAGCTGCCTGGAGGAGGGAGCCCCTGAGTTGTATATGGAGAGACTCTTTGGCAGTGGCATGCAGGGAGCGGGTTTGCAGGAGTGACCTTGGCCAGGGTGGGGTGGCGAGGAAGCAGCACCCCAGGGAGAAAGGGGCTGTGCGGGAGAACAGCAGCCTCACCCCCAAGGTCTAGCTGGTGGGACTCTGGGAGCACAGCAGTTAAAAGCACATGGGACTGGGACACTGTGGAAGGGACCAAGGGATCAGAGTCCCCATACTGGGCCTGTGTTAGCTCCAAGCCTTTCACGCTTGTTCTCTCACCCTAACTTCTACTCCCGCCCTGTGCAATTAGCGTAGCCCTCTCCAGGCAGGGCAGGCTGAGTCAAGGCAGTAGAGCCTAGTGGTTCAGAGTTCCTCCTCCGAATCGTGGAGGAATCACACTGTCCATGTCTCAGGGTTATTGGGAGGATAAAGGACCTAACACTTGTAAAGCTCTGAGCTTTGTCTGTCACCCACTCACTGCATGACACCTGGTATCATCACTGCCTGGAGCCACCCAGAAGAGTCACAGTAGGGAATCCGGTCAGTCTGGCCCAAGCCCATGCCCTTGCCTTTGCCCTTGCAGCAGAAGGTACCTGTGCCCCATCAGATCACTGCTCCCTGTGGCCCTCAGCTTCCCTAGCTCCCCAGCTGTTTCTGGAATCCTCAGTGAGGCTGACCTCTGGTACCGCATGGCTTGCTTCCCTTAGCCAAGGTGACAGAGTCATATATGCCCCCAAGGTTCCCCAGCGAAGGACTTTTGCCAGAAAACTCAGGGAATAGTAGAACAGATATGGCCTCCTTGTTCCGCCTTTGTTGGGCTGGTAGGTCTTCCTGGTCCTTTCCAGGGGCTAGCCTCAGGCAGGGAGGTCAGCCTCTGGTGGCCTGGGACTCCCAGGAGACCCACCTGCAATGATGATATTGTCTCCCCATAGTGACCCTGCACTCTGGCTATGGACCAGCTAACAGTCCACATGCCTTATCTCTCAGCAACTCTCTCTAACACAACTCTCTCTCTAACTCCAGAGGTGGGCATGATTTTCGTCATCTTATAGCTGGAAAATAGATGCTCAGAGAGAGCAAGTAATTTGCTCAAGGTCACACAGCTAGTAAGTGGCAGACAGAACTGGCACCCAGGTCTGCCTGACTCCACTTTGCATTGAGACAGTGACTTGTCTACCTGCTCAGGGAAGTGAGGGGCCAGGCCCACCTCTGCTTCCCATAGTGCCTAAGGTACTCTGCTGTTGGTGCAGGGGCTGCCCAGACCCTGATGAATGTGTAAATTATTACTTGGTGCTCAGAGCAGCAGAGTCTGACATTTCCTCCAAGGGATGGTGGGCTAGGGGAGGGTGTGCAGTGGGTGCTTCATCCAAAGTAAAAGCTGATGCTGCTGTCCCGGGCAATGCCGGCAGGAAGGGCTGGAGCCTCTGACCTGCGCTGGCCTCTGACCTAGGGCAACCTCTGCTGGGCTGAGGCCACCGCCTATGCTAAGTGGGTCAGCAACAGGGTCAGCAAAGGCTAATCCCTGTGCTTGTCCATGGCACACTTCTCCCATGCTAAGCACCTTAGACTTAGGACCTGCTCAGTCTGCACAACCCACCGGTGTGGTAGGCACTACCATCTCAAGAATTAGAATTAGGAAACAGGCTGGGACAGGTGGGTAATTTGCCCGGAGTCACAGTGCTAGGAAGAGGCAGGGTCACGACTTGAACTCTGTCCTGTCTGGCTCCAAAAGGAAGCCCCTTCTGCTGCTCTCTCCTCTGGGCGGCTTGGAGTGCAATTCCTTGGCAGCTCGTATCCTCTTGGAAGGAGGAGAGAGAAACAGATGTGGTGCAAGGGCAGACAGGCATGGGCATCCCAGCAGCCCCCTTCTTCTCCTCCCTTCTGGGGCTGGCACTGAAGAGCAGTGTCCCTGAGGCCACTCAGTGCAAGGGCCCCTGGGTAGGTCTTGCATCTTTGGCTCATCTTCCCCAAGACCTGGGCACTGTCTCCTCTCAGATGTGTCTGCTGCAGCCATCCCAGCCCCAGGTCCTGGGTGGGAGAAACTGAGCAGGAGGCAGAAATCAATGCCAAAGAAGGAGCAGACTGCCAAGGCAGGGCAGAGGCAGCCCCCACCTTGCCAGGCAAACACTGCCCTCTGCAGGGGGCCCTGGGCTGGTCAGGGCAAGAAATGACCCTGCAGCTGTCAGCACTGGCCAAAAATGGAGAAGGAATGGGGTTCCTTGCTGGCCCTTTCCTAATATAGCTGCACTTGCAGCTATTTTAAGCCTGGGAGGACAGAGGGAATTTTATCAGTTCTGAGGCAGTGGCAGGCTTGGGGCAGAGCAGGGCCACTGTGCCACTCCCTGGGACGGGGGACTACTGACTTGAGCCTGGATCCCCAGGGTTTGGCTGCAAATGACCAGGGTCAGGCCGGTTGGGGCCCAGGCTCCCCCAGCTAGAGCCCACACTGGGCAGATTCAAGAAGATGGCAGAATTTGGGGACAGAGTCCCCCACCTTCCACACTGTCTCCCTCACAGGCCCCAGACAGGGACACTGGCCACAGGGTCTGCCACTGCAGGGAATCTGCATTTAAAGAAACACGGGACAGACACTGCTTTCCCTACAGAGACCGTGCTCTAGGAGGCTCACTCTCAGGTCAGAGTGAGAGGAAGGGCCTCTCACTATGCTGTCCGAGCTGGGCTGCCTCGGCTAGGCGCTTTCCTTCAGAAAGCCTTGAGCTCGGCCAGGCGTGGTGGCTCACGCCTGTCATCCCAGCACTTTGGGAAGCCGACGCAGGTGGATCACGAGATCAGGAGATCGAGACCATCCTGGCTAACACAGTGAAATCCCATCTCTACTAAAAATACAAAAAAAAAAAAAAAAAAATTAGCCAGGCATGGTGGTGGGCACCTGTAGTCCCAGCTACTCGGGAGGCTGAGGCAGGAGAATGGTGTGAACTTGGGAGGCGGAGCTTGCAGTGAGCCGAGATCGAGCCACTGCACTCCAGCCTGGGTGAAAGAGCGAGACTCCATCTCAAAAAAAAAGCCTTGAGCTCACACTTCTCCCTGCGCTTCCTCGCTCCTCCATCCTGCCTCATTGCTGGCCCAAAGGGCCTTTAGGAGTGGCCCCTGGGGATTGTGCACCCCACTCCCCTATACCCCAAGAGGAGCAGCCAGAGCTGCCTGTGTCTCTTCTGGGAGGGAAAGGAGGTCCGGGTTTGGGGGGCATAGGTAACCCCGCGCACACCCTGCCCCCTCACCACCGCAATGCCTGCTCAGGACAGAATTCCAGAGCTGCCCCCACAAAACAGACTCTTAGTCCAGAGATGCGGACAGGCAGGGAGGCCCCTGGGCCTCAGCCTTTTCCATAGCAGCCACAGCTGGTCCTGTCTCCACCTGCAGCTTCCTCTCTGGGATCTATAGCCAGGTTTGTATGTGGGGGATTCCTGTATGTGGTACGAGTGTCCCTGAAGATGGACAAGAAAACACTTCTTTTGGCAAAACAGAGGGCACTGGGGAACGCCCAAGAGGGAAACACTGCTGTGTCAGTCTCTGAACCAAACCGAGCGTCCCAGTCACTGTGACTCCCAGCTCTCAGCTCTCCCTCCTCGCTCCTTGCTCTCCTCACCCAGTGTGATTTGGGCTGCTTCTGCCTCCACAATGATCAGGCTGATGATGGCCCCGGCGCTCAAACTCCCCCTGGTGGAGCCTCCCTCTGACCACCCTGTCTTCTTTGCCCTTTTCCTCCCCAGGTGGTAGCCAACTCTCCAGCCAAGTTAGTATCAAAGGACAGCATGTGTGTGCGCTTGCGTGCCAGCCCCAGCATGTGTCTGTGTGTATCTGACGTGGATAGGGTGTGCCTGCTGGCATGTGTACATGTGTGTGCATATGTATGAGTGGGGTGCACTTGTGCCCCTGGGTGAGCCTGCATGTGTGTGAAGCTGGAGTAGAAGCATTTGGGGGTGGGAGTGGGGGCTCCATTCGATGGTTCTAATTTCATTCCCAATTTCCTGCTGCAGCAGCTGCTTAAGATGCGCCTGGGGTTGGTGACGGTGGTTGGGGGAAGGGGGCACAGGCTGTGCTGCTGCTGGGCCTGTGTGAGCCTGAAGACCTTTCTGTCCTGGCGACCCCTCGGAAGGGCTGCACTGGATCTTGTCTGTCCGGGGAGCACACCTATCCATTGGAGGGAAGAGCCTCCTGTGGGTAGAGGATGGCCAGCCACTCAGCAAACTGGACTTGAGGGGGCCTGGGCAGCCGGAGCCCTGTTCTGAGGAAGAAGCACATTCCCTGAAGCGTCTGGAAGAGCAGAGCTCTGGGCCACCAAGAGGGTGGCCTGCAGGAAGAGCCCCTTCATGGAGAAACCTTGCTCAGAATCCCTGTGGGTGCCACTGGAGCCGCTTTTCGCCTTTGGGGCGTTCTGGACTCAGCTTGGGCTGCTGCTCCCATCCCCTACCCCCAGCCCCACGCCCCGCTTCCCCTGCTGTGTGTGGTGGGAGATCTCTCTGTGCCTGGCAGCCCCTGCAGACCCTGGGAGTGAGCTCAGGCTCAGCCAGGCCCTGCAGGGGATCTGGGAACGCCAAGATGGGCAAGGAAACCCTTCTATGGCCAGGAGTGGTGGCTCATGCCTGTAATCCCAACACTGTGAGAGGCCAAGGCAGAAGGATCCACTTGAGGCCAGGAGTTCAAGACCAACCTGGGCAACATTGTGAGACTCTGTCTTTACAAAAAAAAAAACAAAAATAGTGGCATATGCTTTCGATCCTAGCTACCTCAGGAGGCTGAGGTGAGAGGATCACTTGAGCCCACTTGAGAGGTTGAGACTGTAGTGAGTGGAGATCACACCACTGCACTCCACCCTGAACAACAAAGCAAGACCCTGTATCCAAAAAAAAAAAGAAAGAAAGAAAGAAAGAAAAAAGAAAAAAGAAAACCTTCTGCACTGGGCTTTGGGGGAGGGTACCAAGGATTTTCCTGAATAGACCCAGACCACCCACCAATGGGAGACTTATGCAGCCTACAGGGGTTCAGGGCCTCGGCTCTGGGAGATCTCTCTCGACACCCACTGCACCCAGCCCTTGCCTTGGCCACCCATGTAACCACCACCTGTTGCCCTTTTCTCCTCCCCGTCCCTGCCTGTACTCCCCCACCCCTCCCCCAGCGCCGACTACCAGGAACGCTTCAACCCCAGTGCCCTGAAGGACTCGGCCCTGTCCACCCACAAGCCCATCGAGGTGAAGGGGCTGGGAGGCAAGGCCACCATCATCCATGCACAGTACAACACGCCCATCAGCATGTACTCCCAGGATGCCATCATGGACGCCATCGCTGGGCAGGCCCAGGCCCAGGGCAGTGACTTCAGTGGGTAAGCGCCTCCCTCCTCCTCCACCACTCAGCGCCTCCAGAGCCCGAGGGGTCTGGGCCATTGGGCGCCATCGGGACCAGCTTTCTTCCTTCACATTGGACCTCCTGGGGGCATGGTCCTTGGAGGGGAGCCAGCCTTCAGCAGGGTCTTCTGGAACGTAGGTATCCTCTCTTCAGACCCTCTCCATGGTCAGCTTTAGGAGAAGGGTGGAGAAATGCAGAAAATGGTGGCTTCTCAAAGTGCTTTTCACAGCCTCTGCATTTTCCCAGGCTCCTTGAGGAGGCTGGCTTAAGAAGAGACTTCTACAGTCCTCTTAACAAGGGGATCATCCTGGAGGCCCCCAGGTCTCTCACAGCGAAGCTGTCCTTTAAGGAGGGGGACGTTGCCAGGTTCTTCCAGCGCTGAGAATTGATTCAAACACACTGGCTGGGTTTCTGGTTTTGGAAGGGGTCTGCGACCAGCTATCCACGGTACTGCTGGCAATCAGTCCCACTAATGGGAGCAATCCCCTCCTCTTTGCCCCAGGAAGCCCGGCCTCAGGGCAGTGGCATTTAAGACATCCTTGGTTCCTGGAGTTCGCCCATTACCTATGGTTGGGGAATTCGAGGGTTGGTAAAGAAAGAGTTGGCTGAAAATCATTTGTGGATGAAAAATGCTAGCAATGCAAACATTCATGAAGACAGACCTCTCTCTGTGTGTCTCCATGTCTCCCTCTCTGTGTCTCTGTGTCTCCCTTTCTCTGCGTGTCTCTGTATCTCCCTCTATCTGTATGTCTCTTTCTGTCTTCCTCCTTGTTGCTCTCTTTTTCTCTCTCTCTCCCTTTCCCTCTCTTTCTCTCTCTCTCTCTCTCTCTCTCTCTCGTGTGTGTGTGTCTGTCTGTCTGTCTATCTGTTGTTTCTTTCTTACACACATACACACAGTTCCTCACTGTTTTCTATTTGGGAATACCACTGTGTTGGCTGATTCTCAATCTGGGCAACATCTTATCCCTGGGTCAGGACAAGAATTGCAGGATCCCCCAGCAATTCAAGGCAAAAAGTCTTGAAATGACAGCGATGTTTTTTTCCAAAGCCAGGAAAACAGATGTAATAAGAGGGATGGAGGGATTAAAAAGTCCCAGGGAACCCAGTTTCACTTGGCCATTCCAGACCCCAGCCCTTGTGGCCGTGATATGCATGCAGGTTATACAGGGCAGGCTCCCCAGCCCCAAGGGTGGAACAGTGTAGGCTCCCTAGGCTCTGCTGGAACTGAGGAGCCTGGGACCCTCTTGGAGATGCAGTACTTCCTCTAGGCCACCAGGGGGCAGAGGTCACCTGTCCTAGAGCTTCAAGTCAAACTCCCAAGGCTCAGAGCTGCTGCTCTTGGCGTAATTCTGGGCAAGGTTGATTGAATTCCATCATTCAAAGCAGAAAATATGACCATGCAAGTTTAAAAACACAAGCATTAGCTCATGCATACCCAGAAAAACAAGGTTGTCTAAGCCCAAGAGCTAACAGGGATTTCCTGTTAACGTTTCTTTGTCATGTGTGTCTTTGGTGTGCTCTTAAAAGTAGTAGCAATCGCCAAAGGGAAGTTCAATGGAAAATAATGGAAGAACTGCTCTTCACTAACTTTCTGTTTCCTGCACGTTGGGAAAACTGCTATCATTTGATCTCACCACTAGGGCATCCATCAGTTTTGGAACGGATGCACTGTTGATTAATCAAGGCTTCTTGAAGGACCTTTCCCATCTCCCTCCTGTCCCCTCCCGTCCCCTCCCTGTTCTTCCCCTGGTATGCCTGGAGAGGGTCCTCTTCTCCTCTTCCTTTTAATGCAGCCACGCTGAGCTGACCATGCCGTGGTGCCAGTGAGTAACCCTCTTGGCCATAACGTGCTCCCGTTTCTGCTGTTAATTTCCATGGTTCCTTCCTCACTGACCGTGTTTTTTCTCTTTTTCTTCCTCCTTCACCCACCCTGTTCCAATAACTCATTTCTGACCCTAACCCGGCTCTCTTGTGTGCGCTGCCCCTCTGCTATCCCATGATGGACGCGCACTCACGGCTGGGTTTTCCTCTGCTTGGCAGGGCGTCACCGCTGGCGTAAGTAGACTCCGCAGTGTCTGTCCCGTCATCCGTCTGTCTGATTGTGGGATGGTGTGTGGGTTTGGTGGGATGTGTCTGAGGACCAGTGGTCAGCCCACGTGCTCTGTCCATGCTCCTCCTCACACCCACCTGTCAGCCAAACGACATCCCTTGCAGCCTTTCCAGGCAAGTAGTTGTCTCTTGGGGTTTATCCAAATAATGTCACTGTGGTCACAGAAATCACAGAGTAATGACACTCACGCTGCAGGCCCAGGCTGGGGTACATACCTGTGTTCTCCTTGCCATGCTTTGGGGTGGCTCCCCCCGCCTTTCCTATCTGCACTGGGACAGTGTAGACCTGGACGTTAGAATCCACACTGAGCCATTATTCAGGGCTAGAAGGTGACAAGGTGACAAGGTAACCTCTTGGAGGCCACTCCCCAGAATCTGCATGGGAAGTGTATCTGCAGGAGCCAGTGCCTGCCATGACCACCCATGGGAGGGGAAAGATGAATCAGATTGGGGGCTGCACACAGTGAAGTAAATGCAGCGGTGACCTGATGCTGCGGTGACTGTGGAGTGTTTTCTGTGGCAAGAAGAACAAGCTGAAAGTGGGTCCAGAGAGTGAACTCAGGCCAAGGGCCCAGGACTGCAGGACCTGTTCCATCTTCTCTGCGTATATTCTCCCTGAGCCTTGGTGTCATGAAAAGCACAGCAGTTTCCTCATCTGACTGCTCATCTGACTGCCAGTCTTGGTCACAGCAGCAACAAGAGTCCCTGGTCTTTGCATGGGGCGGTGGGAAACGAAGTCAGAAATGCTGAGTCCCAAGGGACTCACTCCCGGCAGCTTTCTTGAACCCTTGGAGCCAAGAAAGGCACAGGGGAGCTCATCCTGGGCACATTCCAGGAAAACAGCAGCAAATACCTTCCATCCACTTTCTGGATTGCAGAGCTCCGTAGAGAGGCTCAAGGGCCTTGCATCCACGCCTTCCCTCACCCACTGCACAGTTCACACTCCCTCCTTCCCTACCCTCCCAGTGGGTGAGGAGCCAGTACCAGGGAGACCCAGTTGTGCCTTCCTGTTGCCCATCTCACCCAGACCTCAGGAACCCTTGGGACTCCTCCCTATACTAGAAATGGCCTGTCCCAGCAACAGGAAGATCCCACCCTCTCTTTTGCTCCCTGGGCAGCTGCAGGCTCCTCCCTGGCTGGACCCCAGAAGCCTCTGCTGGTCTTTCCCAGCTGATTCCAACCACAGGCTGCCAGTACCTATAGCTCTCTGGGCCAGGGCGGGGCCTTCAGGGAAGCCAGGGCAGCTCCACCCAAGCTCGATCACCTTTCCCCACCTCTGCTCTTATAGCCCACCCTGAGCCAAACACAGGGACCAGTCCTGGGAGACTAGATCAGTTCCCTGTCGCACTCCTTGCAGGGAGGGTATAAGACATGGACATTGGGGAGGTTCCTCTTCCAGCCAACCAGCCCTCTGGGGGAAAGGGAGAGGCAGGCAGGAGAGTGCTGGACAGGGCATCTCTCCAGGCATAGGTCCAGGGCCTCCTACTGGGCAGAAGTAGCCTTCCTGAGCCCTATGACTACAGGGAGCCTAATGCAAAGGACACAGGGCTAGCAGCCAGGAAACCTAGGTTCTTGCCCAATGGGACCCCTATCTGCTGTAACCTGGGGCTAGTTGGCTGGCCTTTCTGGACCTCAGCTTTAGCATCTGTAAGAGGAGAGGGCTGGGCCAGCAGTCTGTTACTGTTGTGGGCTTCACCTGAGCCCTCCCACGCCTCTGAGAAGGTGGGCTGGGTGGCTTGGTCCTCTGGCCCCCTGGCCAGGGCAAGTGGGCTGTAAGGCTTTTGAACATGGCCTGCACTGCAGTCTGATTCAGGCTGGGAGGCACTGGACCCGAGGGGCTCTAGGGTTCCTTCTGGCTCTGATCTAGGATTTGTTTCTTCAGCCAAGAGTTTTGTGCACCTATCATGTGCCAGACCCTGGGAGCCTGAGGGAAGGTCACGTGGTCCCCCACAGAGGGCTGCGCTTCTCTGGGACAGAGGACCAGTGGCTTCCGTGCAGCCCCACTTCCAACTTCCCCAGGCCAGAAATCCCCTGTCCCTGCAGGCCATGCCAGGGCCGTGCCTCGCTGCCTTGTTTCTTACCAGCTCCCAGCACAGTCAGCCTACTGGCACTGAGCCCAGGGCCCCAGTCCTTTTCCAGGGCAGTGACAGCATTGGCAGCTCCTTGTTTGGATCCAAAAGTGTGAGGAGGGCAGCAGATGGACCCTGAGGAAGCCTCTGGGTCCCCGAATGGCCTCTCCCCAGCCAGCCCCAAACTCATGGCCTGCTCAGGGAGGTCAAAGAAGACCTGTTCTGTTTCCTCCCTCTGTAAAGGGGATCTGGGGGTGGGGATGTCTCTGCTGATGTCTCTGATGGAAACTGTGGCTCCCCAGTTTCCATTGGAGGTAGCTGAAATAGTGCCTCCATCCCACAAGCTGAGCCTCTAATCTCAGAGTCCTTCTGACTTTGGAAAGGCATTCCAGGGCCCTGATCACCCAAAAGGTCAGATCCACACTGGGCAGCCACATTAGGGATAGGGGTGGGGGCAAGGCCTAGGCTTGGAGTTAGCACTGGGGAAGGGCAGACCTGAGGGATCTGAGCCTCCTGTCTCTCATGAGGGAGGGGAGTCACTGCTTCACTGTGACCAACCTGAGCACCGAGGACCCAGGTCATGCCCATATCTCAAGTTCTCAGACAGCAATGGGTAAAGGCAAGGTGGGGACAGAACAATAGGGGCCACCAATGGGCATGGAGCAGGGACCCAGCAGGGTGGGAACCGGGCTCCAGCCTAGCCCTCGCCCACGGCCTCTCTCTGCATTGCAGGAGCCTCCCTATTAAGGACCTTACTGTAGACAGCGCCTCTCCCGTCTACCAGGCTGTGATTAAGAACCAGAACAAGCCGGAAGATGAGGCTGACGAGTGGGCACGCCGCTCCTCCAACCTGCAGTCTCGCTCCTTCCGCATCCTGGCCCAGATGACAGGGACAGAATTCAGTGAGTGCAGGCTCTCGGGGTGGGTGCAGAGGAGGGAGATGCTGAGGGGCCACCGGGGGCCTGGGCCCACCACTGCAGAAGCCAGGGAATCCTGCTACCTGCCCTTGAAGGTGGGCCAGCCTTGATGGTTTGTCCGCGGCTGGCAGGGCTCCTTCTGGGCCCCTCGGGCAGGCTGTCTGGTGACAGCAGCCTTCTGCTCCAATGTCAACTCCAACAGTGAGCAGCAGGCTTGGTGTGCAACTTCCGGGTGAGATGACTGCCCAGGGCCGGGATGAGGCCCTCTCAGGCCACCCCCTGACCCTTTCCCAATGTCCTCTGGGGCCTCTGCCCAGCATACAGTGGACAGGCAAAGGGGTAGTCACCATGTTGGGCCTGGCTGAATCCTGGGGACTCAGTGCCCACAGAGCCCCAGCAACTTTCCTTGCTGTGTCTCCTGTGAGTGCCCTGACCAGCTCCTTTCTACCCACAGTGCAAGACCCTGATGAAGAAGCTCTACGAAGGTCAAGGTAAGTGCCTGGACTCAGGCTCTGTGGCCTTGCCCTCTAGCCCCGTCCCTTCCCGGGCAGCCCCCAGGTCACATCACTTATGGAAGGAACCTCTCAAGTTCATGGATTTGGAAAGCCTGGCCTGCAAAGGGCTCCAGCTGACACTAGCTTGAGGCGGCATCCCGGGTCAGTGAGGCGGGCACCTGGACCCGAGTCCTGTCCTCCAGGCCCAGGCTACAAGAGCGAAGGCTCTGGGCTCTCCCAACTTCATCCCTGGGCAGGGGCAGGGCTGCTTTGGCCTTTGCTGGGCTGTTGAGAATGAGGGCATCTTTCCCTGTGAGGACACCCGGCTGGCCACCTTGCCCACCCACTCATCTCAGGGCCTGTTCCCCTGTGATTCCAAAGGCTGGGCACTGGGAAACAGGCACTCAGGGGTCTGTGCTGGACACAAACGCCTGACCCCTGGACTCACCTGTCCAGACCCACGTTGAGGTATCAGTTCTGTAAATTGCTTAAAGCAAAATAGCTGCTGAAAAAAAGAACAAGCCCTGGACATGAGGACGGGTTTGTGCCAAGCTGGGGGTCTTAGAGCATGGTTTCCCCATCAGTTGCAGGTCTGAGGCCATAGCCACCAACCTACCATTGTGGCCCGTCAGGTGCTCATAGCATGAGGGGCCATGCCATCCTGGAACTCACTGGAACCCGCTAGGGCCTTCCACAGTGAGGAGCAGGGCTCATTGTGACTGTGTGGACACTTCCGGTAGCAAACATGTCATCCGCATGTTCTTCCTGGCACTGTCTGCCTTGGGCCAGTGCATCCTGTGGCAGCCTCTGTGCAAGGGGCTGGGGCTCAGGGCACCCTCCCACCCTGGGCCAAGCTTTCTGTACTTGCTAACCAGCAGGCCCAACACTCAGTGGCCATGTGACCCGCGCAGAGTAAGACTCGAGCCAGCTTAGACTTGTGGATTTTATTTTTGAACCAACACTTTTGCCAACTCAAGTTGCTCTCACTTTTTGGCCAGGCATCCAAGTCTAAGGTGGGGTCGTGCCAGTCCTGCTAAGGATGGCATGCAGTCCCAATAACAGTTCTTAACCCTTCAGTGCCTGCAGGGCATCTAAAGAGTCCGCGATGAAGGGATGTTTGATTTAGCACAGAAGTTAAGCTCCAGCTACTTTAAGTCCTAGAACTCTCAGCTCTCCCCTCCTGCTGTGCTCCGCTGCCCCTGCGTGCTGCTCCCATGCTTGTCTTGCCCTCCTCTTAGAAGCCACCCATGTAGCTGCTTCAGTGAGCAATGCAGATGTTCCCAAACATTTGATAAAGGAGTCTTTAAATCACACACCCCAGAGCAAGCGGCTTCAAAATCCCCCCGGGTTCCTTCCAGCAAGAGGCCAGCAGGGGGCCTCTTTTCTCCCTCCCCTGGGACCCAGAGCCCCGCCCTCTCGGCTCCCTTCTGGTTCCTTAATGTTCTGCTTCCCTCTGGTATGCAAGGCAGTCACACTCAGCTTGTGCCTCATTAGCCAGATGTCTTTAGAACGGGAAAGAGTACTGTGGAAGTGCATTGCAGCAAACTTTTGTCCTTTCTTTCCCCTGGAATGTTTGCAGGCTCTGCAAAATTATTGAGTGAGGAGAGCACAAAGGCAGTGTTGAAGGGGGTCCCCAGGCCTCGTCCTTGGCCTTCCCCTTCCCTCCTTCAAGGAACATCTCTTGAAGTTTGTTCTGCCTGGTCTTGAGGGTAATTGAAGGGTGGGAGAGTAGTCCTTCTGCCAGCGGCCTAACCCCATGAAAGCTTGGTTCAGCCTCAGCAAAAGGCAGCCTTCGGAGCCTCTCTCCCAGCTACGGCAGGGTTTCATCCTAGGGAAATCTGGGAAGAGGGCCTGGGAAGTGGCTCCAGTTGACTTCCTCCCACCATCCCAGGAAGCTTCCCTCACCCCATTAGCACCTGTCTCTGGGGTCTCAGGCCGTGCAGTGGAGGCTCTGAGGCATCCAGCCAGCCTCTGCCTAGGTCTGGAGGGGGCTCCTCTCCCTTCTTCTGACTTTAATTTCTGGAGAGTTGTCCTCATGGGCAGAGCCACCCATGTCACTGAATCCCAAACAACTATCCCATGGACCCAGAGGCGGGTGCAGTGGGTGGAGCAGTTTTAATCTGTCTGTGATTGAAGCCTAAAGCAGTGTCTGTGATCACTGGTCATGGCTGGGGCCCCAGGATCACCCACGTCACCGTCTGAGCAGAAGGGAAATGCTTTGTCCCACCCTGGTCCAGGCCGGTCAGGAGTCTTGCTCCTCAGGGGCCTGAGCCGCACTTCTATCTGTCCCCACTCCCAAGTTCAAAGCTGCACCCCTAGACTCTCCTGACCCATCTTATTGGCTGAGAGCAGCCACATTCTCTTTCTCCTCCCAAATCCCAGTGGGGATTCTCAGGGTCTGTCTTGAAGGCTGAGTTTCCCCCGGGAGGCTTCACTGTAAACTGCTTCCAAGTGTCTCACTCCAGCAGAGCCTGAGTTTGCCAAGCCTTTGCATGGTGACACTGACACAGTCTTATACCCATGCAAACGTGCTTTCTCCTTCCTGGTGCTGTGTGGTGAGAAAGTTAGCGGGAATGTTGAGTGAGTAGGCAGGGGCTCTGGGACCTCAAGGTCAGGTGTGAATCCACATGTGAAGAAGACCTTGCAAACTTTCCCTTCACCTCCATCACTGCTCTGCCTCCAAGGTCCACCCCCAGAGTCCCATGACAGCTCACAGCCCTCTTCTCCTCTCAGGTCCTGGCTCCTAATGGTGTCTCTGTGTCTGGTAGCATGTAGCTTCCATCTGAGGCTCCAGTGCCAACCTGCTGGCCAGTCCAAGATAGAGTATAATTTCCAGAGACTCTATCTTTACGGGTGAGGTGGGAGAGGCCTGAACAGCCCAGGCATCAGCTATGAATTTAGCTTCCCACTCTAGAAGGACCCAGGCACCTTAGGAAATTGTCCGGGCTGGCTTGAACATCAGCCTCCTGCCTACTTCCACATGGGAGCTACTCTAGTAGTTATAGGTGATGCTGTGGCTCCCCAGTTTCCATCGGAGGTAGCTGAAATAGTGCCTCCTTCCCACAAGCTGAGCCTCTAATCTCAGAGTCCTTCTGACTTTGGAAAGGCATTCCAGGGCCCTGATCACCCAAAAGGTCAGATCCACATTGGGCAGCCACATTAGGGATAGGGGTGGGGGCAAGGCAGGGCTTGGATCTGCAAGGCATCTGGATCCCACTGCTTGGGGGAACCATCCTGGATGTAGCCCAGCATGAAACCCAGACATCCCCCTGATCCCTTATAAGTGCAGCCTCTGCGTTTCCCTGATGCCCGCCTGGGTAAAGAGCTCTGCACCTCCCCATCCTTCCAAGCATTAGGAACAAAGCTGATCTTAGTGAAGAGTCCCTAGAGGAGCTGAAGGTGAGGGTTGCATCACACAGCCCTTTCCATCCCAGATCATGTAAAAATCCTTCCATGCCCCTTTTCCATCATGCAAACATTAAGCTTCTTCCAACAAAATGCCAGGGCTCACTGGCTCCGCTTCTTCCCTCCTGCAGCCTCAGACCCCCCCTTCCCTCCCTCCTCTGGGCAGTCTCTCAGTTTTGCCCCCACTGCAGCCACCTCGCTTACTTGCCGCACAGCACAGGGCCCTCCTGCCAATGGGTGCCCCCGCCAATGGGCCCCTTGTAAGAAAGCAATGAAAAAATTACCTCTCTTCTTTGGATTTCGAGTCCCTGGTGTTCTGCCACCCTAGCGAGTTTGAAAACCACAACTGGAGCACCAGGGATGTTGCCCCAGGTGCCACTGCCTAAGCAGCCCCTGGGGAGTCTCCTTTCTTGCTCTTGCTCTCCTGTCTCTTTTCCTCTTTCCTGTGCCTTCCTCTCCTGGCTCCTTTCCTTGGCTAGCTGAGGATTTTCAAACAGCTTCAAGTAGAGCATGCTCACTAGATCGGACTCTCCAGGGCTGTCCGTGTCCCTGTCCCTGTCACCAAGCACTGACGACAAACTATTACCCAGCCTCCACAGGCCTTGCTAGGACTTGACGATTTACAGGTTAACTGCCTGTGTCTGATCTTGTGCCCCTGTGTTCTGGGTAGTGTCTATGGGATGGTCAGGACTGTTTGTAGTGCTGTCAGCAGGACTCAAGGAGCCCCGTCACACCACCTTTGCTCGTGCCATCTCTACCCCTTCACCCCAACCTCAGATAGGCAGGTATGTGGCAAGGGAAGAAGACGCCGGCACTTAGATTGTGATTCTGCCCCTGAGTTTCTGTGTGGCTTTAGGTCATTCATGTGACCTCTCTGGGCTTCAGCTTCCTCTTAGTATAAGGAAAGTTCAGACTAGACTGGTGGTTTTCAAATATGTTATATGTTAGCAGTGGGTCCCTTTTGTCAAACAGTCTTAGACAGAGACCCAGTATGCAGGATTCAAGGGGTAGAGAGAGAGAGAGACTGCTAGGTAAAGCACGTGCAGAACCAAGGACCTCTGTGAGTGTGCGGACGTGGGGGCCAGACCCGATGACTGTTACTGTGCAGAAATAGAAGGCCAGCACTGCCACATCTTCTTTTCAAAGACTTAAAGTTGCTCTTCCTGATTTTTATATGCTAGCAATTCACTTTTTTTTTTTTTGAGATGGATTCTCACTCTGTCTCCAAGGCTGGAGGGCAGTGGCGCAATCTCGGCTTACTACAACCTCCACCACCCAGGCTCAAGCGATTCTCCTGCCTCAGCCTCCTGAGTAGCTGGGATTACAGGCATGTGACACCATGCCTGGCTAATTCTGTATTGTTAGTGGAGACAGGGTTTCACCATATTGGTCAGGCTGGTCTTGAACTCCTGACCTCAAGTGATCCACCAGCCTCGGCCTCCCAAAGTCCTGGGATTATAGGCGTAAACCACCATGCCCGGCCAACTTCTTTTTTTTCTTTTTCTTTTTCTTTTCTTTCTTTCTTTTTTTTTTTTTTTTTTTTTTTTTTTTTTGAGATAGAGTCTCACTCTGTCACCCACGCTGGAGTGCAG